TATTATTGGTTTGGGTTTTTTCTTTTTTTTGGATGACCCTCCCTGGAAGGCTGGAATCACACACAGGGTTGGTTTTTTCATGCCCATTAGGGGGCAATTTTAAAATGAGATCTGTCTCGAGGGGCTGAAGGGAATAAAAGACAAGGTGGAGATGGGAGGAGGGGAGAAGCTGTTTTCCGAGTACATTATGTTCCCTGCCATTTGCTTTTTTTCATTTATTTCTCTTGGACTGACCTCACACTTTGGAAATTATGCACCTAGTTTTTTTATCCCTCATTTTTGTCTTACTTTTTCTTTTCCCCCCCAGCATCGGGAAGAAGAGATGCCTCATTTTGAAACCTAAAGGGGGGAATAAGAAAAGTCCTTTGTAATATATTGCCATATTATCACTAAATCCCCTGACAGTTGTGACACAGAAGCAAGTCACCTGTCACTTAAGCTTGAGGTCTCTTTAATTTTCTCCTGGAATTCGCACCAGGCTGTCTTTAATTTGAGGCCTTTATTGGAATTCTGAAACCTTTCTGCCTCCCCGGTGCTCAGATCTATTCTGAGTGCTGTTACAGAATGTATACAATAACCAACAGAGGGATTCAGAGGGGGCTGAAGCACTGTTTATTTAACACTCTGGAGGGATTTTCGTGCTTATTCGGTCCTGGCTACCCGGCTTTCAATATCTCTTTGACAACCGTTATGCCCTTCTCATTAATTTTAAACAGTTAAAACACAGGAAAAAGAGAAAAAGTTTTCATTATTAAAGTGCTTTACTTTTTAATAACAGAGGATTCTGTCCGCCAGGGGAAAGGGCAAGGCTCACTAATTTCACATTCATATTAAAAAACGCTGGGAAGGTGACACTTTGTGCTGCCAGGAGGCTTAACAAAAGAAAAGTGATGGGGGCTAGGAGGAGCAGGCGGGGCGAGAAAGTTTTATGTTTCACGTCAATGGAAACTTGTGACTCCCAGCCCTGAGTGTCCACTTCGGAGAGGCAGCACCACTTGGGCTTTATTAAACCTTTACAGAGCCCCCTTGGCTGGAGACTGTCTCGACTGATTAATAGGCACGCCTTGAGTCAAACTGAAAGGCGTCCGTGAAACGAGCTGTGCTGTGAGGCGTTCCCGAGTGCGTTGAGAGACAGACAGCAGAGACCAGAAATCTGGGGGACTCTTCACGTAGCCTTAAAATACCCACCCCTGTCTTTGGAGGCATGGATGGATGGTTCGTCCAGGTAGTGAGTCAGCAGGAGTTTAACCCCCGTGGGTGTTTGCTTCGTTGAAGAATAACTCAGTGGCTGGAAGGTGTGGGTTCCTGAGCCAAAAAGAGGATGCTGTGCAGGGAGTTTAGACTATGTTTGTGGTATGTCTCGGGGCAGATTTGCTGTTGGGCTGTAGAGTGGCAGATCTGGGGCAGCAAAATATTTTGCCTGGCTCCCACGGTCACCGAGGGCTGCGGTGTCGGTGTGATACGGTTTCCCTGGACCGACGGTGGCGCAGAGGCGAAGCTCGCAGCTCGGAGGGAAGGAGAGTTTTGCAGCATTAGCGTGGGGAGCAACAACAGGATTGTTGCCTTGGCACAGGCCTAGGGCAGAATGATGGGAGCTGGATGTTTGTTTTTGGACAGTCGCAGTCAGATGAGGGCGATGACCAGTATCAAGTTGCTGGTTTGAGTCTGGCACTCCTACACATGGGTGCTGGTTCCCGTGTGAGTAGCTTTTGAGAACTGTGGCCCTTTTCTGGGAGAGGTTCACATCCATGGGTGCTTGGCTTTGCGCTTTGTTCTCAACTTTCCATCAAAAATTCTCTTGTTTTCTTGTCCACATTTCCTTTCTCCGCCTGGGTACTCCAGAGAAGGACTCTTTTCTCCTCCCAGTAGCAGCTGACTCTCTCAGGAATGTTTTCCGTTTTCTGTTGTGCCTGTGGTGCAAGGGCCTTGTCTTGTTCTAGAGGCACCATGTGATGACAGTTACGGTGAAGTGCGACTTATTGACAGTGATAAAACTTCACGTAGGCATCAATAGTGCTAAGTTCATTTAGTTGGCTTTTTCACAGGTACTGAATTTGTTCCATTCTCTGGAGCATGAGGGTAAACATAGATCTCCTGCCCCATGAGTGCCAAGAACAGGCCAGGTGTTTTGGGGAGCTGCACAGGGGAACTTGCAACATCTGACTAAAAATGTTAGTGCAGAGTCCAGGGGGAGTTATTTCGAATAACTCCAATGGAAACAAGCAGTGGTATCTAGCCTGTTGAATCTGAGGGGGGGGGGAAAGTCAAGGAGAAAAAGATACGTGATGGATGTTAGAAAACACAAAATTAAAACTGATTTGCGCTCCTCGCCACACAGCGCTCACTGGCTGCTTTGACTTTAACATCTTTATCTGTATTTTTTTTTTCTCTAGTAATATTGAGAGGATTACCTTCGTTGGCCCCTGGGTGGTTACTGTGTGATTTTACTGTTATTAAATCTATTGTAAACTGCTTCATTATTCCTGACTCAAATTTTCTCTTTGCTCTAATCCTCCCACCGCCCTTGTAGAAATCCTGTGGCACGGACCCTCAGGAAGTCCGGGAGCGGGCCACGGTCTTGCAGACAAAATTTGAAGACCACGTTCATTCCAGCGAGGGCACTCTCCGGTGGGCAAAGAAAGGTCAGTGCGTTTCTTTTCCGTCTATTCCACAAGGGCTCATCTAAGCTGCCAAGGTTTTCGTCTGGGGGAGAGCTTCAGGGAAAAGGCCTGGAAGAAACATTTTGGGGCTGTTGGGCTCTGCAGGGGGTTAAGATGAGCCCAGAAGGCTTTGTGGTGATATTAAATGTTAATTTCTTGCATTCCCGTATTACGTGCAAATGAGGTTTAATCTTGGCTTTTGATAGTCACATCCAGAGGCTCTGACCCAGTCACATGAGCGAGTAGATTCTGTGCGTTGTGCTGAGGAGACCATGAGTGACCTGCTTAACCACATCCTCGTGCAACACCCATTGGATCCTTGCAGTTGACACCAGGGAAGAATTTGAAGCCTGTAAGACAGGATGCCTTGGGGCAACTCCTAACAGGCAAAGGTCTTAGACTGGAGGTGGTTGTGTGGGCTGGGAGAAAAATGAGAGAGAAGGCAACTGTTCAGAAAGGCAGAAAGAAGCAAAACTGGGATGGATTTAATAATAATTGTAGTTGGGTGCAAAGCTGGTATTTGATCTCCCATCTCTGCCAAGCAGGGTACCCAGCCTTTGGCACTGAGCAGCAGGAGAAACTCTTCCTGTCTGCTTCTCAGTCTGGAAAATCCAGAGGAAGTTGGGTTTGGGGGAAAGGTGAAGAACTTACCAGGGGTGTGGTAGGACAATAGACACTAAGCAGTCTCCTGAGGGGAGCCAAAAAGGTGGTACAATGTGGGTACCCCTATTCCAGGTACTGTTCTGTTGCTCTGTAAGGCTGATCTGGGTGCACCTGAAAACTGAACAGCTGTTGTAAAGGAAACGTGAGAAGTCAGGCCCCAAAAGTTCTTTGACAATTACTCAGAATTTGATTATTAAATATTGAGACAGGTCCACAAAATGCAAACTCTTTATGCTAAGACTAAACCACTCTTGCTCACAATATATAAGACTAGAGCCTTTTCCCTTTTTTATGTCTCCTTCTCCCACATGTCTCCCTTCCTGATTGTTTTCTTTTTCACCTTGTTTTTCACTTTGACCTGAGTCAAATCCTGCTGTCTAAGCTTCTCTGGATGTCTTGTTAATGTCAGTTCTACAGCTTTTCCAGTTAGGTTTGGATGAGGGGGTCTTGATGAGGTGAATTTTAATGGTCTGCGTAATTTCTGTTTATGATTATATGTATACATACCTGCTGTATGTGTGTGGCACAAGTGTACCACGTGTGCTAAACTGCATAAATCACATACCAAGGGGTCCAAAACCAAACGGACAACCTGATCTTTGAGCTGTACAGTGTCATCATAGAAACTGGATAAGGGAAGGCTGTTCTTAAGGTAGAAGTTCCAACATTAAAATGGATTGGAATAGTGAGAGAGAAGCAATTGTTCAAGAGGTCAAAGGTGCAGAGTTTTTTCTGAATGTTGTACTAACTTGTTAGGTGATGACATAGCAGAATGAGTAGAGCTCGTACTGTAACTCCCTGCTTGCCCCAGATGTTGATGGACAAGGTGTTTGAAATCCTACTGCTTCACTCTTTGCTCTGTCCCCTGCCACTGCATGTCACTGTCCTGATTCTCACCTCCCTCCTGGCAGTTGCGGTGCTGATTTTCTTTTTTTTCCTCAGCGTTTCGAAATACCCTTCTCCTACAGTGAAAGTGTTAGAGGTTCACTACACAAGCAGCTTGCACCCGTTTTCAGGTGTGTCGTGCTACTTGACTGGGGTAATTACTTCTATAGCTGCACTGTAAGTCCACAATCTCAAAGCATGTGACTAATGCGATCAAATCCTCAATTCTGCGTGGATAAACTTCTCGTTGCTCCCCTGGGATTTCTTACACCCTCTGCGAACTCCTAACCTGAAATGACTGTGACAGGGAGAGCAGCTGAATGGCTCTGGTCACGCTTGGAAAACCTCTGTGGTTTCTCTTTGCACACTTGTTGCTGACCTCAGCACTAAAAACTTTTTTAGCCGTGGACGAGAAGGACAGAAAATATATCAGAAAATGCTGAAATGTTGTGCATCCCATTTATCTTGTACAGGAGCGCTCCACCTCTTTTTCCTACTCTGCTATATCTACATATGCAAATTTTCCACTGCTGAGTGGCTTCCATAAGCCCCTTCTTCCTCCCCTCTGCGCCAGGCATCATGAATAATTAACACGGCAGCTGGCTTTTGCTTTCATGGCAGACAATCAATTGGAAACTGTGCCAGAGATGCATTTGTTTCTCTCTCTTTTTCTCTTTTTCCCCATTTTCTGACCTAGTCAATGTTAATAAGCAGTGTTCTCACTGCAGCCCGCTTTCAAAAGGCGAGTGGCTTCCTGCCCACTCATCCCTTCTGCCTCTCAGTTCCGTGTTTTCCAAACTCAAATCAAATGGTTCAGTGAAGGTGCTGCCCTTCAGACTTGATTGACTGCTCAGTGGTGAGATGGGGGGAGGCTTGGTACGGCTGGGCCCTGCTACCTGGAGCGTGGATCTCACAAAGCGTGGAGCCCCTTCCAGGAAAGAGAAAACTCGTTGGAAGGATTGCTTGGTGATAGGTGCTTCGTTTTGGAGCTGTGGCGGCAGATAGAACTCAGGAGACTGATCCTTTGTGCCACTGGGGTTACAGAAAGGGTAAGGAAGCAAACCCTGCTTTTCTCTCCGTGTTTCCCCATTTTATAGTCAGTAGTTGAGCATTTTGCCTCATCCTTTCTGTCATCAGCACCCGTGTGTTGAGAGGGATGGCAGAATCGCAGGAGCTCACCGCTGGGACACAGTGCTTGGATCTGTGGTGGTTTTGGTGTGTTCTTCCTTCCCGTCCCCGTGTGCTCTGGGCGCTGGCGAAATGCCTCCCCAGATTGATGCAGCCACTGGGAGCTGGCTGCCAGCTGAGTGTGGTGAGCAGGTTATGTCACCTGTCTCACTTTCATTTCTCATTACTCTCTTGCCTCTGTTTAAAAAAGCAACAAACCAGCCTGTCTAACCTCCATCATATTTAGCTTTTTTTTTTTTTTCAACTTTCCACATTTACATTTCTTACAGAAAAGCGAGGATGTGTAATAACAAGGCACCAAGGTAAATCCACTCTCTTACCTGACGCAAGTCTGAATCCCACCGCAGGCCAATGTGCCTTGCCTCAGACTCGTGTTGGTGTGGCAGAAACTCTAACAGCTTAGGCAGTTTGCTTCTGTGGTGTTAAGATGAGGCACTTTTTATGTAAATTATGGTCTGACCAGCAGTGTTTGCAGTCTTTTTGAGCTGTTTTTACAAACCTCTGTCTCCTTGATCGCAAAATTATAAAAGAATTGCAACCTTTTTTTTTTTAAAAAAAAAGCACTTTTAACATCTGGCCACTATAATTAAACATAAAAGCCAGAAAACATGACTCTGACAATACTGAGAGGTCAGAAGACCTGATAGGAAAGATATAAAATAGAATTGTGTTCACAAAGGTCTTCATTTCAGTCTCATGGGTGCTCTAACGAACGCCAGCAGCTCTGAGCTCCACAGGGGTAAGACAGTTGTGTGAGCTGAGGTTTCGACCTGCTGGTGCAGCAGGGCTGTTGGTGCAGATTTGGGTGAGCATCTTGCAGCTCTGCCTGGTTTTTGCATGCTCTGACTCAGGGCTGGGTCTGGCAGTTGTCAAGACTTTGGGAAGAGGGGGGGGCCTTTGATGCTTTGATTCTTGAACTCTGATCTGCAGAGTTAGCACCAGCAGCCTCTCCTATCGAGAACTGTGAGCTCAGCCTTCATCATAACAGGATCTTTAGCATCAACCAGTGCAAGTGCTGCGAGAAAGACGGCTATATTAGCTCCAACGGGACCAAAGTGAGAGCGAGAGCAAGTTCGCGTTGTTCCTTTTGAAGAGTTACACCTTCTATTAGCAGGTCAATTCGACCAATAACTTCACCAAAAAAAGCAGCAGAGTGAGGTTTTTGAGAGCGTTTGAGCTGGTTTATAACCCCTCAGAAGGATGGCCTTCAGATGAGGCACCAGGACAGGGTGTTTGGAATTTAACATTCTCTTTTTTGGAAAACATAGGTCTCTCAATGCTCTGATGCCTCTGAAAGCTTAGCGCTGTGAAATTGGGAAGAAGGTGCAAAAAACTCAATCTTTTCTTCTCATCGATTGGGAAAAGGAGTTCGCTTTGCTCAGTAAACAGAGCTTTGATGGATTCCCTGGGTCCTTCTAGGAGCTGATCTGCTAAAATGACATTTTTATTACTGTTCATAAACTCCAATCTCCGGCTGCTGCCAAGAGATTAGACATAAGCTGTGGGCAAACTTGCTGGTCCGGTGGCTCAACGGGCAAGGGCAGGAGAGGTTAGAGTTTCGAGCTTGCTGCTGTCAGGGGTTGAGAGGGAGAGGAAGATGTAGGTGGTGGTTGGAGGGCGCGCTGCGGGGACACGGGAGGTTTAGCAAGCGGAGAGGCAGCAGGGGATTGAAAGGAGGCGTTTTCTGAGCTGTGGAGCTTCCTTACTAAAAGTCCCCCTATTCCCCATAGTGGAAAGGACAGCCTGGGTGTAGTTAATGTTCTGGGTACGTGGAGGAGCAGTGGTAGCGTTCATATTAGTGGATGATCGTCTTTAGAGCAATGAGCCCTGAGGGAAGGGCATTACAGGAATATAAAGATGTGAAGGGAAATTTGCACACAATTCTATTATTTTTCCCTTTTGAGAAGGGGAGCTCTATTCTCAGTGTGATGATGAGTCAGGAAATCCTCCTGGCTCTCAGATATTTATAAGGGACTAGCTAGTAACTGGTGAAAAATGCACGGACTGCTGGGACTGCAATATCAGAGGAGTCTTCCTATGCCTTCTTTATGCTTCTCTTTCAGTCCCCGTTTCTCTATTCCCTCTCTCCTCTTATCTGCTTCCATTTGGTGTCCGTGACTCTCCCTCCGAGATAAGCCACAGACATCACCCTTCCTGGCAGAAGGGGCATCTTTTCAAGAGGCAAACTTAAGACAACGTCATGTCGCTTTGTTTCAGTTCCTATCACTTCACCACCACCTACCTTCTCCTTTCAGGATTCTACTAGTACTATACACCCTTCACAGATTTTTAACATACCAACCTTTTCTACCAGCTGCTGACCAGAAGGTGTCCCAAAGGACAAGACCAATGTCCTTTCAGCTGGAACAGCTGAATCTTTAAGTATATATATATAAAAATGCAGTAGCAAACACAATTCACTCTTTTTTTTTTTCCCCTTCCTCCTCAGCACTGCAGTCTTTCCTTTGTGCCTACACCACCTATCCCAGGAACCTCAAGCACATCTTCCACATCAAATCTCTCCACCTGGGTCACGTGGCCAAGAGCTTTGGCCTGAGAGATGCCCCCCAGAACCTGACTGCTCGTCCAACTGCAGGCTCCAAGAAGAGAACCAAACCAAGACCGAAAAGGTAGGCCAACATGATGTTCCTGAGCCAAGGAGTGCTACATGACAAGATATAGTGTGCTTCGCTCCTCGAGGTTGGTGTGCTTGCTCCAGGAATCATAGAGTCATAAAATGGTTTGGGTTGGAAGGGACACCCCGGCTGTGGGGAGGTCAGGTGGGATTGTTCCTGAGAGACTAAATCATGTTGAGGCACTGGGTTAGGTTGGGTTGCTCTCTGAGCTCTTGTCATGGACAAGCACCTCCGTAGAAGAAGCTGCCAGATTATTTTCCGTTCACATGCCCACTTCCGGTTGCATGGTCCTTCAGGGTGCTGTGATCCGTCAGGATCAGCTGCAGTCCTCTTTGTCCTCACCCCTGTCTGGGGAAGGGCTTTCACAAATACAGCTGTTCTCCTAAATACTTGCTGTTGATGTAGGGCGTGGGATGATAAAAGCGTCGAGGAAGTAGGAGACAAGGGATCATTTTCCCCTCTCAGATTTGAAGTTGGCTGTCCTGCACATTAGGAGCAAGAATGTATTAGTGATGATTTATCTCACAAGGTAGACTCTTCTTTGTGGGCCTGGACAGATAGCACTGCATCAGGAGCAAAGTATGTGTCTTACTGTCTTTAAAGGCCATCTGTGGCCTCCTCTGGCCTATTTTATCACCTTCTCTGCACTAGACAGACAGTCTTCTGTAGGCTTTTTCCTGCAGTTCCACCAGCAGTTTCCCAGCTGTCAGATTTGCCATGGGACAAATTGTGTCCATCCTCTCAGAATGGCCAGCTGCAGCTTGAATTCCTTACTCTTCTCCCTAAGAAGACATTAACTTAGTACCTTCAGGAAAGGAGAGGACTGCAGTGTATTCTTTTAGTTGTTAATTCTGTGATTGACTGTAGTTCTATGGTACAAGCCCAAATCAACAAGCAGATCTGTTGGTAAAAATGATTCTTCGGCAAACCTGTGTTCTGCTGCCTACTTAAATCTAAGTAGTTCTGGCAAAAGCATTTCTGCAAAGTCATGTGGGATCTCCCCCAGGAAGAGTCTGTAACAAACCTGGAGTTACAACTCTCTCCCCTTTGGTGTGTGGACAGGGCTGTTCTGGGGTGCTCCTTTCCATGTAAGGAATTTGAGACTCCCTGATGCTTCTGGAGGAGCAGAGCCCTGAATCCTCTTCTCTGCTTGAAATGGAGCTGAAGATGCTCGGGACGTCTGATCGTAGCTACTTTGAGTTGGTTCCACAGATAGGGAATCCTCCCTTTTGAGATTACAATGTTTAGGGCTCACCGTCTTCTCTAGCGCAATGGCAGGATGCGAACCTCTGTCTTGCCAGTAAAATCACTGCAGGAAGATAGAGGAATATATTTTTTCTTTTTATCAGTATCAGTTGTGACTCCTTCCACGGAATTGGTGCTGCAGTCTCCGTTAGCAAACGTTAGCCATGCAGTTAGAGCACCAATCCACATAATTGCTTCTGGGCTGGTGACCTCGCTTGCACATGTATATATCTTGGACAAAAACAAAAACCAAACCAAAACAACAAAAAAAGCAAAAGGAAGGGATTTTAAAATAAAAAGTTGGAGACTGCATTGTCCTGCTTTGAGAAGCCACCAGGGACAGGCCACTGATCTGCCTCCTGCTTCAGCCGACCCTCACCAGCAGATGGGCAACAGGATGGGAATGCCCCTGTGAGCAGGGGATTTAACGGAGCTTTATTTCAGGAAGAATAGCCTGATTAGCCGATAAAGAGCATGTAAGATGGTATGGGGTGGGCTTTGATGTCTTGCTGGCTCAGCAGGGTGTCAAGCTATGACTGACAGTAGCGTGTCACAGGATTACTTGGCCAGCAACAATGCCTCTCTCTGTTCCTATGATGTAGCTACTCTGTTAGAGCTACTTTTTCCCTTGTTATGAACCTCTTAGATGCCATTCCTCCTCCCCAAGTCTTCATCCTATTATAGTACAGACAAGCTCAAGATACAGTAGGTAGTTTATGCACGGGACGTGTGGGGTTAGGGGATGTGGAGGTGTTAGAACACATGGTCTGAGAGCGATTTGAAAGCTCATTTGCACGTGGATCATGTAATTGCAGCTCAGGGAAAGCGGGCAGGCTTTGCACAGGTTCATCACGGCTCAAGCTCCAGATTTCAAATCCAGGAGCGTCTGGAAAGTTAAGACCCTGCAGAAATAGCCAAAGTTGTGACGTCCAACAATTGTTCTTGCCTGTGAAACTTGTCTCCAATCAACTTTCTCTGTGTGTGCTCAAAAAAAAAAAACAAAACCCACAACAGAGAGAAGGGAATATAGATTCAAATTCAGTCTCCGCTAGCATAAATTCAAGATAATGGTGTTAACTTACAGAGAATTGCTTTTCATTTCACACTGACAAGGCAGAAACCAGAATTGAGCCTGCCTGTTAGAAGACAAATGGGGTTTAATTGCAAAATGCAAGGCTTGAAATTATAAGTATAGTTACAGAGCAATCTTTCTAATTACGTTTCTCACATCATACCATGAGTGTTGGTTGTCGTATTACACGTTGTCTCCAAACATCCGATACTTGTTTTTAATCAGTCTGCTAGCTAAAGCCTCGTCTCTCAGCACCTGTCTAGAGAGTAAAGAACAGGCAGTCCGGGTTGAAACTGGGGTAAGGACAATCATTAAATGTTTCCTTAAGAGGACAAAGAAAACTTCATTTCTTTTGAAGTCTCCTTTTGTGCTGAGCGCCTCCTTAGAGAGCCTGCTTGGGGAAGGTGAGACAGGAAGATAGAGCAGCCAGGTGTGCGATGGTTCCGTGCTGAAACGTGGGAGCAGCCCTCTCCTGAATGCATGTGTGAAACTTTCATGTGTTTTTTAAACCTCTTTGTGCAAATCTGCCATCCACTTAGCTGTGGTGCTTCTTGCAAAACCTGATCTGAAGAGGGAAAAATAATTGCTCGTGATGTTTTTCAAAGTTGAAATGTCGTGTTTAGGTGAGAGATGAGCACCTGAACCAGATACTGTATATTGAGTTACAGTACATCAGCTTAGTAAGTGCCTAGGCTTGTGCTTTTACTGAAGGGTAGATGCAAGGAAGCTGATCCCACTCCCATGGAGGGATTAACTGTCTTTCGTTCGCTGCGGAGGAGCAGCGCGCACGAGAAGGAGCTGACGTGTTACACAGACACGTCTTTCGACTCTTCCACAATGCAGATGCCGAAGGCCTGTGGCCTTTCCACCAAGCATCCCTGCGCTGCTCGATCTTTTGCGTTTTGGATTAGTGAGGCTTTATGGGATTCTGTGGCACCTGATGGCCTGGTTTTTTTCCTTTCCAGCTCTGGAAGGCTGGTGTCTGTCCCCAAAGGGCTTCACTGTAATAAGGACCTAATTTCCCTTATTTGTGCATTCAAGTCGTTTTAAAGGAAGAGATAAATCTTTTAAGTTTGGTAGGTTCCTGTGGTACTCATGGCTACAGGATATCTCTGATGGCAGAAATGCTCAGAGAGATTGAGCTTACATCTTGAGTATCAAGTATATTCATAGTTGTGCAAAAAAGGAGTATACAAATGAAGGTGAAAACCCCCTCATGCTTCGGAGTTCAGGTTCAATCCTTAACTAAAATGAGATCAAGAAAAGTTGCCCAGGATGCTTCTGTGTGAGAGGATTGGTTTACATCATTATGACACTGCCATCACTCTGAATATAGATGTCGTCATGCCCTTAAGGTTTTGGCTGCAAGATTATCATGCTAATTCATTCTTCAGCGTTTAGTGGTCAGGCAGAATTAGACTCCTGCTGGGAAATACACCTTGTCACCCTGGGTGTCCTCCTTCGCAGGGCTAGGGCAGCAGTCTGCTCTGGGCGCAAGCTAGTAGCCTTTTGCCTTCTATCCTTGATTCCGCTTTTGAATGTCTTGGCATTGGCAATTTTGGAAAGACTAATGCTTCTATGGACAGGGCTTGCGAATCGAGGCTGCAGCTGGGTCTCCCTGCAAAGCAATTGTCTAATGATTAGAAGCAGTTTGCCTGCCAGTTTTTGTGTGCCGTTTACAGCTTTCCTAATATCACTTAATTAGTCAAAACGCAAGTTTGGAATTCAGCCCGCTGGGAATTTCGCTTGGTTTGGGCAGTCTGCTCTAGAAAGCCAGACTGGAGCTCAGGTAAGAGCAGGTACTCACGAACTGGAATGCAGATGGATCTAAAAATGAGAGTGAGAGGTCTGGCTGCTGTGAAGGGAGTGATTGCTCTTCATTAAGGCAGATCAGGGACACAGATGAGTCCTGCTTACCACATCATGGTGTTATTAAAAATCCTGTTATGTAATTGAAGTTTCGTAATTGTAGAATCCCTCTGATTGTTGCAACACCCTTTACTACTGCCCCATTCCGCAGCACAGAGCCTTTGCTCCATGTTTGAGTGAGCTGGTAGGGCTTTTGCACATGGAGCTAGAAAATCTCTGCACTGCTTAGTACGCACCAAAAATGTTCAGCCCTCTCGGTTGAAATATATTCTGTCCTTTAGGCTGTGAAAGAGCCTGGCAGAATCCTGGGAGGTTCCCAGCCTCCCAGTGGTGCTCTCATCCTTTCTCCTCCATAGGGTGAAGCTCAAGGGGTGGTAATGAAAGTGAAGCTGTGGGGTTTTGTCTCTTTCTGTGTAGCAGGAGTACAGGTGACTTCAGTAGGGGTAAGGCGGGCTTCGCTGTTCAGCGTGTCTCGGCATGAAGACTGCTCTGACTGTTCTGGAACAGCGCTTGATGTTCAGTCTGGGTAATAATTTTCCTTGATCTTCTCAAGCTAGTGTTTGCATCAGCTGATAACAGAGTACCTAGGCCATCTGTTGACTTGTCGAGAGCAGCGTAGAATCACTGATGAATCTCTTGCCCCTACTCTGCAAAGAACAACAGAAAACCCAACCCAAACAGGGTTGCGTTGGCTGCAGATGGTTCATCCAATGCTGTAAGTGGAAAAAGCAGGTGTTGCAGCAGCCTTGGCCCAGAGGTAACCCAGCTCTGCTGCTGGCACAGTTTCAAAGAGCTGTTGGAGCTGCTGTCAGGCAGATTGATAGCGCGATCCATGTTGAAATGTTTTCTGATAAATGAAACAGCCTACTCCTCTCTGCTCCAAAGACACACCATGAGTTCTGGGACTGTGCGTCAGAACTTTATACTCCTTCGTCCTCAGCTGGAGCGATTTGGGAGCCTTTGGTTGCTGCAGATGCTGCGAGTTGGTTAAAGGTCACTACTCTTGCTGTGCTGCATTGCACCAGTATTTCACACAGCTCAAGACAAAGGAACAGACAGCAATGCCAACCAAGTTGAAGGAGACACCTCTGAGAACAAACTCGCTCAGCATTTAGCTAAAAAGACTAGCAGAGGCATCTTCTGAGCCATCAAATGATATCCAAGAAACCATGGATGTCTGTGTATCACAGCTCTGACACGCAGGAGTTTTTGGCTTGGAGACCAGTTGGTGATTCAATTCTCTAATGAAGCAGATGTGTCAATGAAACGTATGTATGCCTTGCAAATGAAGGGGTGATGTGTCCCCCACCTGAAATTAGACGGGAGTGCTCACTCATCTCTGCTGGCTCCTCTGACTGCTCGCTAATTCCTGTCTGTCTTATGGGAGTCCCAATACCCCATATCTGGCACAGAAGAGCAGTAGCCCAGCGGTGCTTCTCCCTGGCATCCAGTATGTTGCAGCACTCCACACCCAGCACACTGGACAGTAACACAGGGAAGTCAAATAGCTTGTGTTCAGGGACAGGTTCTCCCTAATTCATGTGTTGGGGCTGTTTCATTTTCTGAGTTTTATGACTTCTCTATTCCTGTCTCATTTTCCCCCAGCTAATAAAAGTGGCTCTTTCCTCATCCTTGTGAACGCTTCTTTCTCCTTTCAGCCCTGCTGAAATCTTGGCACTGTAGCACAGTGGGATGGGTCAGTCATTAGTGAATCTCTTTTTCTCCTGCAAGTTCCCCTTAGCTGCGCCGTTTCGTAGTTCCCCACCTAAAGACTGATGTTGTGTTCGGAAGGAGGGATTTAAAGGGTTGGGGATTTCTCTGCCCGATATCAACATGATATGTTCTCATTAGGGCTCGATATAGTGTGATATCTAGACGTGAGATCACAGAAGGAGATGCTGACAATCCATGTGCTTATCAAGGGACGGGAACATGGGTTCTGTCTGTATTGCAAATGCATCTTGCATTTACAGCTTTTCTGTGAAGCTTTTTGCCAAAGTATCCAGAATCACCACACGATTCACTCAATTTAACATCACATCAGCCTTTGCATCAGGGAAAATGCAGTCACCCCCGGTTATAAGGTGGGAGAATGGACACGAAGGCCAAAGAGGTTAAATACTTTGCCCAAGGATGCTCAGAGGGTGAGCATCAAGGTCTTGCTCTGTTCTCCTGGGCTTTGTCTCATAACCACAGGGCGCCTTGCCTTGACGATGTTGTCTTGGCTGCTCTGGCAGAGCCGCAGAGACTCTCACCAGTTGAGCAGAGAGGGGAATTTACAGGTTTACAGCAGGATTCTGCATCCAGCCAGGGACCTTGACCTGGTGCACTTCCCCAGTGTGCTGTCACTGCAGACTGTTGCTGTTGCTCTTCCATCTCATGTTTCAACAGGGCCTTGACAGCTGCTTTTCTTCTTGCACTGATCAGTACAGGTTCCACAGCACAGCTCCATCGATTTTTATTTTTTTTGTGTGTGTGTGGCCCTGGTTAGAGGGAGAAACCTCTGTTTTCCCTGCATGCTTGCTTTTCTGTCTGCGGCTGATCACCACAGCAGGGGGTATTGATTTACTAATTGGGCAATGATTTTACCTGATTGATAATAAAATGTTGGACAACCTCCCTGCTGAGCTGAATCTCAGCCCGGCAGCTACTGGTGGATTACTTGTCCTTTTGCAGCAGATAGTTCCCTGTTGTTAAGTAAACTGATCTGTTGCTTGGTTACCCTCGAATTACTGTAGTAAATGCTTGGAGACACAATGAAAGTGTCACATAGAAACTTTATCAAGTGATGGAGGGGGCTGAGTGGAGGCTAGAGCTGCACTAGGAAGTTTTTACAGCAGAGCTGGGCTGGCTCGGGGCACACCTTGGCATGAGACTTTGCCCTCACTCAGTTTTGCACATTCAGGGGTGCAGCCTGACAGGAGGTCCCGCAGGTACGACTTTACTGGTAGCATGTTTGCTTCGTTGGCTATAAGGCCACTTTTGAATTGATTCTGTCTTTTTGCCTTCATTTCTTTGGGTTCAAACCCAGGTGATGGCTGCATGTCTTATTTCTCCGGTATGTCCAGTCTCCAGCCCTTCTACCAGTGCAGAGCCTGAATGCTTAATTAGTGTGAGAACGGAGACTACACTGAAGGCAGCAGAATCTTCTCACCTGTGTATTCCATATCTTTCAGTGGTAATCATCTCACCATCCTCACCATTCTCATCAACCCTTCCAGACCCACTCCAGGGCATGAAATCAGCACCAGGATGGAAAAAAAAAAAGCTGTGGAAAAAGGGGCAAACAAACAAATACCCCTAGGCAGCCAAGAGTTTGCTTCCTTTGCCTTCCTTGTGTGTTTGGCCCTAATAAATGGAATGATCTCTTGGGGCAGCCAAATAAATGCTTCCTTCTCCTGTGATCCCCAGCGTGGTTCTGAAGGAGCTGTGAGAGTCAGTGCTCTGAGGCCTTTGGGAATGCTGAGGCCCATGTGCTGTTGTAATACACGCTGGCACGGGTGCCAGGCGTCCATTCAGCTCCCTTGTGTGTAGAGGGACAGACTGATTCCGTTCACTTCTCTGGAAATTTTGGAGATCTGTCACTGGTCCTTATCACAAAAGAGGAGAGTGGGACGTGCAGACCTCAGTAGCTGTGGATACCCCGTTGTGCCCAGGACTATGGAAACATGGTAGGGAACGACAGGTCCCCCACTGAAGGGGTTGCGGGTTAAATCAGTGAGGATGGTGGCAGCAGTGGGGATGAGTCTTTCCCAAGGTTATAGAGCAGGACAGTGGCAGAACCTGTGGTGGAAAAGTGCTGAGTGGGGTTTTATATTTATAGCTGGCAGTTTAAGGCTACAGGGAGATCCATGTTGGAGTTTAGTGGCTGGGCAGAATGCAGCTACCGTTGCAAAAGCTGGTCTCTGGAGAGGGAGGCTGTAAGGTCCATGTGATGTCTGCAGGACACTGCGAGAAAAAGAGTCTATTGGGTTTAGACTCCTGACTTTTTTTTTTTGGCGTGTTTGTTTGGGGTTTTTGTGTTTTCAAACTCTGGATTTAAGCTCTGTTTATAAAATGTTTCCATTGTTCAATGTCTTAAAGCTGTTAGTTGGGGTTTTTTATTATTATTATAATTTTCAAACTGCTGTGTCACCTAATTCATCAGCCTTCAGCACAAAACCTTCCCTCCTTCTCCCCGCCACCCCTGCAAGAGCATTTGTACAGAACAAAGGCTTGCTTTTAAAAACGGCATGATATTTTGCCACCTTTGTGAAAACCTGTCACAACAATATCTAATTTTGCATGAGACAGAATTTCAAATCAAGCCTCAAGAAAAGGAAGCTGTTCTCCTGCTAATGCGCAAATGTCACTTTCTGCGGCTGTAAAATCAGTAACCCACCTAGCAGCAGTTCGGAGAGAAGGAAATCTAATTCCTCTTCTCTTCCCTCTGCCCAGGTCTGACCTTCTCAAGAAGACCCACGGCAAACATCGCCTCGCTGAGATCTTGCGATCTGAATATTCCAGCGGGATGGACACTGGTGTATCCAAGGTCAAGAAGAAGAAAAGACAGAGAAAAACTGGCAACCAGCAGATTCCAACATAAGCCGGGACCTTCCAGTCATTGGCTGCAAAAACCCTGCTTGAGTGCCTCAGCCGGGGGTCAGGGTGACCTGCCAAATCAGCTGAGGAGTGGTTCAATTTATCAGGCAAATATGGGAGGGATCTCGGGGATCTTGGCCTCCTCCCCTTCATTCCATAGGTCCAAATGGAATCGAATCCAGGCGTGTCCTGTTGCACGGCTGCCATTAAATGTGGCTTCCTGAAGACGTGCCACATTTCTAAGGTGATTTTTTTGCAAGAAAAATAAATTTTTAAAAAGTGTGGGTTTTGGAGCACTGTGATATCTATATAACATGAAAGTCAGTCAAGCGTACTCAGACAGGAGCTGCTTTCCTATTTAAAAGACCTGTAGAAACACTCCACAATCTTGTTTGCGTGCCTGTTTTTAACCAGATAAACAGTAGTGGCAGAAGAGGGGTTCCAGGATCATGTTTAAGAGGAGAAGGAAGGCTGCCCCTTCCCCTTGTGTTATACGGGGAGGGGCACTTCTGCTCCTGTCTCAGGGAGCCACCTTCTCTCCCGTCCTTTGTGCGCGGGGCCAAGGTCTGTCCCTGGACACTGATCATTAGTCAGATATTGCCACCTGGAAGGAATCTCCCGGATTTCAGCGCGAGTGGCAGGGCTGCGGAGAGCTCTTCAGTGTGATGACACATGGTCCCTTTGGGGCAAGAGCTCATGGGCACGAAACTTCATGTCAAAACTCTCGAGTTTGGGAGCAAACGTTGTCACTGTGGGAAGAGCCAGCGCGGCATCCAGCAATCTCCAAACTTCTCCTTGCCTGCAGCGTATTGTCAAACCTAATTATATAACGCAGAGCAGGTATAAAATGTCTCACCCCTCTGAACATTAAAGCTTTTGCAGGCTCTTACTAACACTTGCCAGTCGTAACCTTGGCTTTCGGGCTTCTCCCTGCTTTGGCTTGGCCTCTTTTGAGTACATACCAACAGAATGGATTTCACTTCTTGGTTTTCCCATTTACCTTTTTTCTTGTTCTTGCTTATCGTTGAAAGGAATGTGGTCTGGCCCCAGATGTGCTGAGGCCAGCCCTCGTTCACCACTGCCTGGCCTGTGAAATGGAACCTGAGTTCTGGTGAAGTCTCTAACAAAACTCTTCTCTGAGCTGGTGAGGTGTTGGGGGCTCAGTGGGGGAGAGCAGATGCTCCCCCAGACCTGCAGGAGACTTAAAACTCCCCCAGGACCTCCCCATGAGCACCCACTTCCTCCTCTTCTGCGCGGTGTTGCTTCCAGCACCTCCTGTCACACAAGCGTGGAGCAGCAGGCATTTGAAAACAGGACAAAGCCCTGCCAGAGCACAACGTTCTGCTGCCTGCGTGGGTCTCGCTCGAGGAGAACAGCCCACCTGTGACCCAAGCCAGGTGTGGTGCGTAACAGGGGACTAGGAAGTGCTCAAATCCAGTGGCAATTTCAGGTGCCAGAAAGTAAAAAGGAATATAACCAGATGAAACTGATACCCACTTTGTGAATACAGAATTGAGGGCACCTACTTTGGGCTATAGTGAGTCATACTAAGGACTGTAGGAGGGAAACAATCAACCCAAAATGTAACTTTTGAGACCCAGTTTTATTTTTTCCTCCCAGGCAGTTACTAAACACACTGATTTTACTGTTTTGAAAACTTCAGAAAGGATGTTAAAAAGGCCCCAGTATAAAATTAACCATGTTTTTGCAGAGAGAATGAAGTTCTAGCATTTATTAGTTTAAGATAAAATAACAACAAAGCCCACCTGACTTTGTTATGAGTACTTTTTGGAAGAGCAACCAGGTTTAAGGCAAATGTCAAACAGAAAAGAAACCCCTGAGGATGGAAATGACTCAGAGAGAGTGATGCCGAGTGTAAGTTTGGGAAGAACTGATCTTGTGCATGAGGGGAAAATATATGACCTTCTCCTGGCTGTCACGTATGAATTAATAGGGACTATTGGCAAATTCGTAATAGTAGAAATAAAGGCCAACAGCGCAGCAGAGAGAGATGTCAGGAGATCTCATTGCCGTCTGTTCTAACTGGGCACGTAACATTACAGTCATGATGAATAATGTTATTTTTTAAAAAAAAATAGAATGCCTATTTCTTTCAGCATCACCATCTTTTAGCAGATAGTGCTGGATTACTTGTGTCATTAGGAAAGGAAGAGGATGAGATTCTTAACCAAGAAAGAGAAAGCATTAAAACACACACACCCCTGAAGCTCAGCTGGGTTTCCTCTTAATAAACTCAAAGGCCAATGTGCAAAACGTGTTTGGATTGTAGCTGGGTCAGCCGGAAACAAATTTTGCCCTTATTTACACTTTGGCAGCTCTGGATCGACTCCGAGCTGGCTTTATCCCTGTGCATTGCTCACTTCAGGAAGACCCCAGTAGGTTTGGCGTTAATTTGTACTTGACTCAAACCACCTCTTCACCCAGGCGGGGCGGGGGGGGGGGCTTGGGGTGGGGCAGGATGGCCAGGAGGGGCTGCAAGAACGGGCTGTGGTGGGTGCAGAAGCTTCCAAGTCCTTTGAGCACCCAAATGCTACAGTTGCTGGAGCGACGGTGGGTTTCCCCGGCACGGATGTTGCCCTGTATTTGTCTCTGAGGTATGTGGGGTGTGTTACAGGGGTCTTGGCTGAGTGGGAGCCAAGATGAGCTCTTGGCAGTGTTTGGTGAAGCTGCTGCTCTGTTTGACTGCGCTGGTGTTGATTTTGGTCAGGTTTGCTTCCTTGTCTTAATTGTGGTGAGTGGTGGGGGCCTTGCTGCCCTGCTACTTAAGTTTCTGCGTTTAATCTGGACGTAATGACACTGTGGAGTTTTAATAAAGTTGCCTGTGAGTCAAACCTGGACTTGGTTTGGGTTTCCCTTGTCGCTTCTCTGCTCCCTGCTCTCACACCCAGAATCCTGCCTCTCCCAGGACATGTTCTTGCGCCTTTTCTCAGCTCTGTTCTGGCTCTGTCTCCTTTGCCGCTAACAGGAGACCACATCCTCTTCAGCAGGTGGAACATCTTGAGTTTATGCTTCAAGGCTTTGGGATAGGAAAAAGCAAGGGGATGACCTTGGAACAAGGGTTGTAGTTGAACACCTTTTGGTGTCTAGGTCGAACATGAGAGACCTTAGCACTGGTACCCCACCACTGAGCAGCACCCATAACTAGGCAGGATAGAAAGCAGCAGAACTTCTCTGTCTACAGCAACTTACTTTCTCCATAAGGCTGTGGAGAGGGCAGGAAAAGCACCAGTTGTTCTGGGCTTTTCATTCTGGCTTGATTTTGTTTGGTGTTAGGACGAAACCATAAAATCATAGAATGATAGATTCATAGAATGGCCTAGGCTGGAAGGGACCTTAGAGATCATTTAATCCAACCTCTCTGTCATGGGCAAGGATGTGTCTCAACTAGATCAGGCAACACATTGGGACCGAGTGGGGATCGAACCCGCGGCCTTGGTGTTAATCAGCACCACGCTCTAACCGACTGAGCTAAAATATCTTGGCTAGAAACAATTCTGCTGCTTTCATTGAATTTGCATGTGTTGGCATGTTCAGTGGAGCAGCTTTCATTGTTTCCAGGGTGGCTGTCCTGGTCAAAGCTGTCAGGAGAGGAGAAAGATAGCCCTCAAGCTGGGAAAAAGCCAAAAAGGCGCTCAAGAGCCAGGATTGTGTTTGGTCCTGGCAAACCCACTGCACTAACTGGTTTGTGCCTTGGATCCAGAGAGTGGAGCTGACAGAAACCAACCACCAGCAGCCTGTTTGTTGGAGCCTCTGTGCCCCGAGAGAAATTGGTGGAGCAGAACTGGTGCAATACTCCAAAGGTTTCCTTAATGGGACTGGTGTTGCTTCTCAACTGTGCCATTTTTACTGCTTCATCTAATTTTAACCCAACGCAGCCTGTCCCATGCCTGAGGACTTGCCAGGAGCACGCCTACCTGGCACTGGCCTCTAGAAATAAGCAGAGTTTCCAGCCTGGTCAGGGGTGCAGGACCAATGCTGATGGGTTCTGCTGTTGGACAGCAGGGTCCCGTCTCAGTCCCTGCACACAAACCAGAGGTGAGACTGATCCTTCAGCTGCTTATGAAGCTGCTGAGGTCCTCCTGCAATAGGTGCTATTCATGTGGCAAGCATGGTGCTCTCTCATGAGAGCCTACAGCCTCTGGTGTCTTCACTGAACTGATTTATTTTGAAGTTTCTGCTGCTTGACTCTGCTACAAGAGCTCCCTGGAGGAGATGGTTTCAGCCTTTGCTTCCCCCATGCTCTCTTTCCTTCCCAGCCCGATCTGGCACGGCCGTTCCCCCTTCCCAGAGCAAAGGTTTCCCCGGGGCTCTGCCCCACACTCTCCTATCACCTTTGTAGCACGAACTGGACTGTGCCCCTGTGTTATGGCACTGGCTCGGACCTGCTGTTAAAGGGGAGTTTCCAGCCTCTTCCAGATGTAAAATGGCAAATTTAAATATTGCAATTACAAATGTGTAACGAAGCCTTGTACTTCATTAATGTAAGAGGAGGAATCTGCTATGGCTACAAGGACAATTAAATATTAGAGAATGTCTTTGATTCACATTAAAAAAAAATGGGAGGAAGGTTGCTGTCTGCTCCTTGCCTTTGCGCTCACAAAATGAAAAGCACACCCACTGCAAGTTGTCCTTTGATAGATTTTTAATATGATTTTAAAGAGTTTTGTTTGGCCTCATTCTTATTCAATGAGATTAATCTAAAGCACTTATCCCCTGGGTTTAAGTCAATCCATGTAGGATTTGGGATGGGGGTTTGTTGCCCGGG